CAGGTATTGCTGGGAGACTCTGTCAACTTCAGCCATTACAGTATCAGTCTCCTCCATCTTCCTCTGAACTTCTGGAGCCTCTTCCTTAAGAGTCTCAAGCTCAGTAATGATTCTAAAAATAGACACAACAAAGATTACATCATGTAATAATTGTTACTATATTTAGATGTGTTGTTACTATTATTAGTGATGATTCTAAAAATAAACACATTAATGATTACATCATGTAATAGTTGTTACTATATTTAGATGTGTTGTTACTATTATTAGAATTGGGGGTACCTGTTGTTGTCTAGGATACGACCCTTGACCTCGTTCAATGCAGTGAGGAGACTCTTCTCAAGGTGACACAAACGAAGGAGGAACTCACCTAATGAATAATTAATGAATTAAATTATACATAATTATTAATAAAAGATAATTAATTATTGAGAAATACAAATGAGGATTTGTACCTTGAAGCTTAAGTAGGTCGCATCTCTTCTCATCAATGTCTGGTCTCTTGGATTTAAGAACCTGAGAGAGAGAGAGAGAGAGAGAGGGAGAGAGATTAAATAATGTGAATAATAAAAATTCCAAAAAATTAAAAATCTGAAAATATTTCCACTCTCTCAGAAAAAATATAAAAAATTTCAAAAATAAAAATAAAATAATCCAAAAATATTCTAACAATCTCAGGAAAAAATTCCAAAAATAAAAATAAAAAAATTCCAAAAATATTCCCACGCTGTCGGAAAAAAATTTAAAACAAATAGGAAAAATTAAATTAAAATATTCCGAAAATATTTCCATGTTCGGAGAAAAAATCAAAAAAATTCCAAAAATTAAATTAAAAAAATCCAAAAATATTCCCACACTCTTGAAAAATCAGAAAAAATTCCAAAAAATAAATTACTGAAATTCGCGAGAGAAAGGGAGAGAGATCCCTTACCTTGTTTTGGTAATCTTCTTGTCTTTGTACTCATTCATAATAAATTCAGTTGCTTGACCGGACAGATCAACTATCAATGGATACCTGTTGACTCTCTTGATCATGATGACATTCTCAGTCCAAAGATCATCAGCTGGTAAGGAGTTAGGAAGCCATCTTAGTCTCTCATCTCCATTAGATAAATACTAGAGAGAAAATAATAAAATATGAAAGTAATATTATCAAGGATGATTATTAGAATAATTGGCAAGATAAAAGTTATAAATAATAAAAATAGAGGGTCAAAAATTGCAACATAAAGGCCATTATTTTTCTTGACTTCATAAATGCTATGGCCAACATAAAATATCTCAATTGTTCCTGAAAAAATCTTTAAAAGCATAAACTTCATATCAAATTTGCTAGATGCACCAATTCAAAATTAAAATATTCAATTTACTTCACCTCTTGCTAGATCAGGTCTAAAAGATATCCTAGCCTCCTGGAGGTGAGTGGCCCAAGATGTGAAGAGACTGTGACGAAACTGTTGATCAAAGTAACCTCCATACGCCATGAATGCTGATGTCAGCAATACATCTCCGCTGATTGTAGACATTTGAGTCTTGAATGTTTCACTCCCTGTGTTCCAACACTCTCTCTCTCTCTCCACTGAGACTGGTCAGTAGTGCCTTGCTCCTATTAACCTTTTAATATGATGATAACTTGATATGTAGATGTGGATGTAGAGAAGTTACCTTAAGGAGACTATTGTTAGCTGGTATTTAATTTAGCAAACTTTAGCAATTAAAAAAAATTGCTAACTTAAGTCTGCGCTAACTTTAAATTCCTATTCTATTTTTAATATTTTTATTAATATTAAATGATCAAAAACGCTAAATTAAATACCAGCCAAATGTTAGCATCATGAAAATCTCTAAAATAAGCACATGCACGCTAATAATCATCTCCTTAAGGTACATGTAACAACTATTTTTTAACTATAGATACATGTACTGTATGTAGAGGTGCTTAAAATATCTTGAATACTTTTAATATTATTACGATCTGGGGGCGTAGCCCCCAGGTCGTCCTATAATTGATTTCACCCACGTGCGATATACATGTACGTGTATATATTTGTATGTCCACACTTACATATCTTCTATACACATTGTATTGGAGAAATAATAAGCCTTAGCAACCACCCACCACGCTACGTAGGTGGGTGAGGTGACGGTAAACAAAATGGCGGTTTGCACATATGACAAAGTTATGAGCTTTCTAACAGCAAAGGAGAACAGAAATACTGTCTAAAGTCTTTTCTGGAAGCATTAGAAGGAAGAGAGAACCTTCATAAGTCTTAATAAGAACCCAGCTGTACTTGCAAGGGAGTGAAAACAATTATAGGAATATTTTTACACTGTTACACTTGTAAAGCTTCATTATTAAAATACTTTACCTTTTTTCTCAACAGTTGATAAATCATTTTTAATAACATTAGCATCAGAAATGAGCATTGCGTAATCTTCTTTATATCTATTAATAAAAAAAGACATTTAAAATATAATTATTATTTTTAATTTTTTGTTTTGTGTACTTTGCTATAGAGGCTTCAAGTTCTGCTATTATTTTTGTTATTTCTTCTCCTTTTTGATGAGTGTCCTCAGCTTTGGTTTCCAAATCTTTCAATTCTTTACGTAACGGATCAACTCTCTTCAACATATCAGCATAACTCAACTATAGGAGAGAGAGAAAAGACGATACAATATTATCAATAGGGTGCACAATAAGTACAAAAATATAAATAATTACACCTCAAGTTCACTTTTAATTGTATGCATTAATTTAATTAATTTAGGCTATAATTAAAATTTTTCCACAGCAAGCAATTCATGAACTGGCTTTAGAGCAATTAAAAAAATTCATAAAAAATCAAACCTTGATTGGAATCAGCTCAGACTTTATACACAACATAAGTTCATGTATGTGCATTGGAAAATGTTATAAAACTTGAGAATTTTCTACTTGACATTTTTGGCGAAATTTGGCCAACAACCCTGATAGTACAGGGACTTTGACCCAATTTTTAAGCAACTTCAAAAATTTAGAAAAAAATTAAAATTACATTCATGACATTTGTACCTTGTTTCAGTCCAGGGTCTTGTAATGGTATTCACTCAAACTAGGCGTGTATAAGCAGTCTTGCTTTAGCTACGTAGGTCTGACAGAATGGTCTACTCTCATGGTGTGTTCTAGTTTCTTCACCAGCTCATTGAAGTATATATCATCATTGGGTCTATTCTTCACTCCGGCCTGATTACTGGGAGAGAACTCAACTGCTGTAGCCAGGATCATCAGCACTCCTGTGTATCAGTACATGTGTCATTATCAATTACCGTATAGCTTGATATTTTCTTGGGTCGATATTTTTGTGGTTTGCTCCTAGTGGGGCAATTTGTGGTTTAATTTTTGTGGTTGACAGTTTACATAGCCTGTAAGGGGATGGCACTTCAATGATTTTGTGGGCTTAAATTTCGTGGGCAGCCCATAACCACGAAAATCACGAAATTTACATTCCACGAAAATTTCAAGCTATACGGTATTAATTCATTCTCACTTACATGTAATACAGGCATAGTCTTGGCTCTGGACAGCAGGTAGAAGTACAGTTTACTCGTCTGTATCAATATATTAGTGCTACTATACTTCACTGATATATAGAAATAGGAATGAGCAATTACACTATAAAAACAAGCAAATTAAGATAATAATACATTAATTTTTTGGCATTTTGCAATCAAAATTTTCAATAGTGAAATGTTTAGTAATACATGCGTGGACAAATTCGCCAATTAAAAGCTGGCCTAATGTATTTATCAAGCAAAACCATCAAAATTAAAGTACCGCTAAATCACACGACAGTCACATGATTTCAATTACCTGATTGAGTGACTCCAGAGTGAAGTACATGGCAGAGCAGGAGGTGGAGAGAGGCAGGTATTGCTGGGAGACTCTGTCAACTTCAACAGTATCAGTCTCCTCCATCTTCCTCTGAACTTCTCCAGCCTCTTCCTTAAGAGTCTCAAGCTCAGTAATGATTCTAAAAATAGACACAACAAAGATTACATCATGTAATAATTGTACTATATTTAGATGTATTGTTACTATTATTAGTAATGATTTTAAAAATAAACACATTAATGATTACATCATGTAATAGTTGTTACTATGTTTAGATGTATTGTTACTATTATTAGAATTGGGGGTACCTGTTGTTATCTAGGATACGACCCTTGACCTCGTTCAATGCAGTGAGGAGACTCTTCTCAAGGTGACGCAAACGAAGGAGGAACTCACCTAATGAATAATTAACGAATTAAATTATTAATAAAAGATAATTAATGTATCTTTAATTATTAAAATACTTTACCTTTTTCTCAAAAGTTGATAAATCATTCTTAATAACACTAGCATCAGATATAACCATTGCATATTCTTCTTTATATCTAAGTAAAGAAAAAAAATAAAAATATAAATTTCACTTTTAATGTATTTTGTTTTGTTCTTTACTTTGCTATAGAGGCTTCAAGTTCTGCTATTATTTTTGTTATTTCTTCTCCTTTTTGACGAGTGTCCTCAGCTTTGGTTTCCAAATCTTTCAATTCTTTACGTAACGGATCAACTCTCTTCAACATATCAACATAACTCAACTATAGGAGAGAGAGAAGAGGATACAATATTATCAATAGTGTGCACAATAATACAAAAATATAAATAAAAACACCTCAAGTTCACTTTTAATTGTATGCATTAATTTAGCACTTTAGAAGCATTTGGGAGTTTGGCTATATTTAAAATTTTTACGCAGCAAGCAATTCATGAACTGGCTTTAGAGCAATTAAAAAAATTCATAAAAAATCAAATCTTGATCGGAATCAGCTCAAACTTTATACATAACATAAGTTCATGTATGTGCATTGGAAAATGTTATAAAAATTGAGAATTTTCTACTTGACATTTTTGGCGAAATTTGGCCAACAACCCTGATAGTACAGGGACTTTGACTCAATTTTTGAGCAACTTCAAAAATTCATAAAAAATCTAAAATTACATTCATGAAATTTGTACCTTGTTTCAGTCCAGGGTCTTGTAATGGTATCACTCAAAGTAGGCGTGTATAAGCAGTCTTGATTTAGCTACGTAGGTCTGACAGAACGGTTGCTCTCTGGTGTCCACTCTCATGGTGTGTTCTAGTTTCTTCACCAGCTCATTCAAGTATATAT